AAAATCAAATATAGGTCACTAATACAAATATAGTAAAACATGATTTTGGAAATTGAATTAACGTTTAGTTGCATATATGGTACGTCCGATGATCTTACCTTTGTACTAATATGGCTTAATCAAGTGGCCTAGTTACTTTCTTTCCGAGTGTATAGCGTGTAGAAATAATCTACACAATCAAGAACATATTCAAAGTGAAATGTCTTTTCCTTCTCACAATAAAGGAGACGATTACAGCGATCTTGAAAAACGTCTTGCCGAATTAAAAAAATCGGATGAAGTTAATTCTCAAAGTGATTTGTGAGTTTTTATCTCTATCCTTTGTTTTTTTTACCGTCATAAAATCATCAATAGATTTTTAAAAAAAAAAAAAAAAAAAACGAACGACGTACTATAAAAAGGAAGGATTTAACCGAAAGATTCTCGAAAGTTTTTGGTCATCAGCCCGTAATATCATCGGCTGTTGAAAATAAAGAGGATACACAAAAGAGGTCTTATAAATTGCCGAATGGAAAAGAATTTAATGAAGAGGTATCTACAGCATAGAAGCGAACCACTGATTATTTGATATTGATATTGGGACTATTTGTATCGGTTTTCCATTCGTTTTATCCAGATAGAACAGTTTTTATTATCTGAAGAAAATTTGCTGAATGAAGATGATGAATATTTATTTTCAATGGAACACCAACATAATCTCGATTCTTTGGTCTCTAAGTTTGTGGGTGATGATCTAAATATATCCGCGAGTTGTGAGAATGAAAGTGAAAACGATGTGCGTCTTATACGCCAAATACAAGAAGAAATTCTTTTAGAAGAAAATTATGATTCGGTTAAGAAATTGGAGGATTACAATGAATTGGAAAAAAGATATAGACAATTAAAGGCAGATGATGTGAAAGTTCCTAACGGCCGATTAGGTCCACCGCCAAAGGCGATTGATATATCCGATCTTATAGGCGATGATGATGATCCTGACACCTGGTGTTGTGAGTGTTGTTATTATACTTATACTTATTCGCCGTGCCATTTTATCTGCAAGCAATCTTAAGCATGATTACATATTTATTACAGGTATTTGTAATGAAGACGCAACCATCAAATGCAGAGATTGTCAGGGTGATTTGTATTGCGGAGAGTGTTTCAAAGAAGGTAACAATAAAATTTATTTCGTATGCTGTTTATCATGTTATTTTTCAACACTAATTATGTTGATTTGACTTAGGACATTTTGGTGAAAGTTCAGATAGTGAATTAAGAAGACATAGATATGAGGCGTATAGAAGATCTAATAATAATTTATCAAACTGATTAGTACAAGTGTATTATTTATTTTAAAAAATTTTTTGAAAAAAATCATTTTTAATTGTTCGTATTATTTAGCGAAGTTTTCGGGACACTGGGTAGCTGCCTCAAAACGTTATGTGCCTCTTTTTCTTGTCGTTTTCTTCTCAGACCGGATTCGCGTAAATAAAAAAAGTCTCGATGCAAAATATATTGTTCCGGCTTAGGCGGTATTGACGGAGGTTTTACTTCTATATTTTTTTCGTTGACATCTTTCTCTGTCTTGCTATTTTCCACTTTTTGTTTTTCCTCCTCCTTTTCGTCGTCTTTTTTTGATGTTGATGCGGGATCCGTTGTTTTAATTACTTCAGGTTCAGGTACTGGTGAAGCGAAACCATGGTCATCTAAATGGCTTGTAAAAATTGCATCGATAAATTAGATGAATTCTGACTGTCTCTTTTCGATTATGCCTCTCATGAGAGAATCATTTGGGTCTTTTGAAAAAATGGCATTAGAAGAAAACCAACCTGATACAAACGTAGAACCAATCTAACCCATCGCCAGTGGTTAGAACTGCTGACGTGAATTTATTGCAAACAAAACATGGCCGCTCCGAGGTAGCAGTACGATGCGTATAGTGATTTTGAAGCACTGTCGATTTTTTCGTAGAAGCAGACATTTCACTAAAGCTTGCAAAATTTATTTAAGGGTAGTTGATAAGGCTTCAACAGAAATGATTATGCAACGCAAATCAGTTCTTTATATTGCATAAAAATTTTCCAAGCTGATGTTTATTAGTAGCAATTTAAATCGAGTTTCTCGATTTGGTTAAATAATTTTGTACACATACAATTATTTAAAGATTTTTAATTAATTTAACAATTTATAGTTTTTGAATAATTCATAATGATAAACTATGGATAATAAACTTAATAGATAAAAGTTTAAATCAATTCTCTAGAGAAGTGAAATATTATAATTTAGATCTGACTTAGAATACTTTAGTGTAATAATGAGTTAGTCATTATATAAAAAATCTATAATATTGTAGATAATTATATGCAACTAAACGTTAATTCAATTTCCAAAATCATGTTTTACTATATTTGTATTAGTGACCTATATTTGATTTT